GCTAAGTCAGGAGCATGGCCTGGCAGCTCAGAGTCTCTTTAAGGCAAAACTAGCCATCTGTTGAATAAATCAACATTATGCTGAGAAAAAGAAGGGATAATGAAAAATTAATTTTTCATTGTCACTTATCAGTTGCTTGAGCCAGACAGAGGGGCCTTAACTTTATGTACCAGGTAGTACAATCAACATACCTCGTGACACAGATGTCGGAGACAAAATCAGTAAAGAGAGTTTGAGAAATGGAGAGCACCTATTTATTTCTAGAAAACTTTGAAAAGTACACTAAACAAAACATTTGCCCTGATAGGCAAAGCAATCCCTGTGAAGACGGGAGCTGGTGTGGTTTGTGGAAGGGACATGGGAAGGCTGCCAACATCTCAGCTCTCCTCCCCGCTCTGCTGCTACCTCATTACCATGTGAACTCAGGCCACACACTGTACCTGACTGAGCTGTAGTTTCCTCATTGCAAGTGACATAATAATACTTGCTAAATGTATGCCAAAGGGATTTTGTGAAAATGATGGGAAGGTGGTTTGAATATGCTATAATGCATTCTTATGATGAGAAAGAATGATTTTGGATTTCAGATGCAAGGGCTATGCAATCTGAGAGGAGTATGAAATTGGGGCAACTGCTGAAGTAGGGATTCTTATCACTCCAGTGGTTTTCTTTTTAAATTTTAACCACAATAAAGTATTATTATAAAGATTGTATTATTTCATATATATAGGATTATTAAAGTCTGGCTTTAAAGTGATTGTTTGCTCTCAAATGTAAGACATTTATTTTAAAGTTTCTTTATTATAACCTAAATAAGATATAGGGTCTAATTTTTTTTCTTGGCAGAACTCTGACTATATTTATCATGGAAATCAGTGGGAAATGGGCTTTATTTAAGGGAAGTTTCTGGGGGTACCTGGGTGGCTCAGTCAGTTAAGCATCTTAATATTAGCTTGATATTAGCTCAGGTCTTGATATCAAGGAGGTGAATTCAAGCCCCTTGTTGGGCTCAAAGAAAAAAAAAGTTTCTGTGCCACAATAATATTTTGGAATATTTATTCCATTTTATAGCTCATGCCAATGTCTAACTCTTATACAATCTACATTTCAATTATGTAAGTAAAAAAAAATTCAACTGTCTAAGCAGAATTCATCAACCCAACAATTTTCTTTAACTGAATCTCAGGTGCTGAGACCCTGTGTTTAAATATATAAAATTACTATACTTAATCAGTGATTGTAATATGGAGGTCTGAACCCTAACTAACCATAAAAGTGAGGTTTAATGTGCTTTCTTTCATTCCTTCCCTCCCCCCAATTTATAGGGAAAAAAAACTTACTGATTTTTATACTACCAAGGTTGTGAGCAAATCCAAAACACTTCATGGATATTGTTTATCCTCACTCAGCACGGACCAAGCAAAATGTCATCCACCTCATCAAACAAGTACATTTTTCTTTTTTGTTGTAATCACAATCTCAGTAATATATTTCTGATTAATATAAATAGAAAACCATTAGTTAAAACTTAACTTACTCAGTTTGATACCGAAATATTTAAGAGCATGGGGGCCCTCGTAGACAGAAAACAGTAAAAGGAATACATGATAGTAATAAATATAGAACACAGCAATTAAATGAAATTCACTTGTGTCTTACTATTGTATGTTTTGTCTTATTATTATAAGTTTAAAGTCTTGTTGATATTATAAAACTAAACTTTGATGTTATAAAATGAAACTTTCTGCAAGGCCATTCCTCTGCTGTGGACTTTACCTGGCTCCTGAGGAAGTATCAGTTGATAATCTGGCTTGGAAAGATTTGGTTAGCGTTCCTTGAGCTCTGAGTATTTCATGGATTTTGGCTTTACAAATGGGCTGAGACCGTGAGGTATCCTTCAGATGGCCAGAAACATCATGGGTGACTCAGTAGGAAATTTGGTTTTTAAACAGAAAAAGATCAGCATTACCCTTACTGTTGGCAGAGTGTGATCTAAAAGAGAGATTAAAAAAAAATTAGCAAATATTTGAATTGTGCTTACTAGGTACCAGGCTCCCCCAAACTCTTTAGAGGCATTAACTCATTTAATTTAACGCTTACAACAACCTTAATAGGTAGTATGATTATCTTTGAGGTCACTTGATCAGAGAGTGATTGGGATTCAACCTCAGGCTCCCTGGCACCAGAGGCTTGGCTGCCTCTGTGACTAGTGATAAGAGTGCTAATGGGTGTACCAACTGAGCTGGTTTTCTGGTACACTGCTGTACTCCAGGGGAGAGCCAACCAGTCTTTTTCTTTTTCTTTTTTTTTAATTTGAAATTTTTTTTCCATAATTGATTCTTTATTGAGGTAGAGTTGATATATAATCTTACATTAGTTTCAGGGGTACAGCATGATTCAATATTTGTATACGCTATGAAATGATGACCACAATAAATCTGGTTACCATCTATCACCATGCATAGTTACAATTTTTTTTCTTGTGATGTGACCTTTTAAGATTTACTCTCTTAGCAACCAATTAGTTTTAACAAGTACTATGGTGAACTTGAGACAGTAACCATGGCAGTTGTCTATGCCAGCCAGGCACATCTATACACAGATGTCAGATTTCTTACAATAAGATTAATAATCAATTTCTACGATGTTAATACTTCCCTCTTAGTTACATAGTAAACTTTCCTTATAAAAAGCCAACCTTGCCTGAGACCTGGCCATTGCTAAGCCAGCATGGTGGCTGAACTCATGGAATAGAGAGATGAAAAGTCAGCAGGGTCTGAGAGGGAAACTCTTTGCTTCTGGACCATTCATGGATTTCTTTCTTTTGTATAGGTATTTTTTTTTTAAAGTGTGGTTTATTTTCATTTAATATTGCTCCGTTTGTATTTCACATTCCCCTTAAGTATCTAAAAATGTTACAGAATAGTGTCATTTCCTTTCACATTAAATATCCAATCAGCCAGGGAATTCCAAAAAATCTAAATATTAAAAAATGAATTTGAACTTGGCAATTCCATTCAGTCAACTGTCTAATGGGATATGAGGAAATCTCTTATGTGCCAGAGATAGTGCTTGGCATTTTACACAGTTACCCCATTTAACCCCACACACAGCCTTGCAAGGTGGTCTCACACCCATCATTTGAGGGCCACGGAGAGAGGCTTGCAGAGGGTAGTAGCTTGCCGTGAATTTCACACTCAGTAAAAGACCTTAGTGAATTATAAATCCAGGTGTTTCAGCCTCCATGTAACACAGTATTTAAGAGACGATCCAAGGTATGGGTATCTTGCTAAGAAAGTGCCAGATTTGCTGGCAATCAATGATGGGTCAACACCGCTGCATCTGGAAATACTGAGCAAATAATGGCGGTAGGGGGCATCCAGCCACTTCCTACATGATTAGTTGAACCACCTTCACACACACGTTGGCAAACTGTGAGATAGCTAAACTAAGGCTCCGGACTAATTTATTCAGCTAGCAGGAAGAAGCAGTTTTTGAACAAAGGGGAGACCAAGGCCTAGGAGGGGAATTAAAACAATTTGCCTATTGAAGCTGGTTGGTGCTGCAGTACTGAACGGCCAATTGGCTGCAAAGAAGTCTTTTCCGCCCCGCCTGAATGGATAGAGCTACTGTAGGACTAGGACTACCCAGGGCTCACCTTCAGATGAGAAGGCGAGTCCCATTATAAGGGATATATGAAGATCCATAACACATCCTGGCAGTATGTTTCTGTAAGAAGTACGGGATGGAAGGTTGGAAGGTTTCATTAATCTGGGACGAAAAAAAAAATCTTGTTCCCGGAGCGTGTATTTTGGGAGGAAATTACACCATTGAAGTCCCCTCCTCGAGATACCCTTTTCCCTCCAGGTACATCATCCTTCTTTATCGATCCCTAGGAGGGAGTGCGTACCCGGGGCTCAAGACCCGTGCCTCGGCTCCGAGCAGCGCGGCTGGCGCTGGGGTCCCGGGGCTGGCGGGGACGGCGGTGACGCAGAAGGCGGCCGCTGCCCAGGTCGAGGCGCAGCGAGGTGGGGGGGGAGGGGGCAGGTTGCTCGGCGCGGTGCGGCGCCGGCCAATCAGGAGGCGCGGTGTTTGGGGCGAAGGGAGGGGAGAGGGCGGGTGGGGGCCTCCAGGTTTTCTCCGGTGCCCGGGCAGCGCCGCCTGCAGTTTCGAGCACAGGCGCGGAGCCCCGCAGGGGGTCTCCGGGCGCGCCCGCCCGTCCCGGTTTTCCGCGGCTCCCCCGCCCTTTCAGGCCCGCCCCCTTCTGCGACCCAGACGCGGCTCCGACGGCGGCCGGCCTCCTCCTCTTCGGACTCCCCTGCTCTGCCTGCAGCGCGAGTCGCCCGGCCGCTCAACGCTTGGTGTCCGGGGGCGGAGTGGGGGCGGCGCCGGCGGGGGCGCCTTACCTTGGGCCGGCGGCGGTAATGTTGCTGCGGTTGCCGCCCTTGCGGCCGGGCGGGCAGCTGGCCGTGGCAGGAGCCGGAGTCGGGGCGCGCTCGCCGCTAGCCGGGACGCCGCCCTCGCCTGCGCTCTGCTCCCGCGGCCGCCGCGGGGCGCCGGGGCCCGGCGCGGCATGAGGAGGAGGCTGCGCGCCCGCGAGCGCTCAGCTCCTCGGCCCCCAGGGCCCCCGCGGGCCCCCGCGCGTCGCGCGCGCCGACTGCGGCCCCGGCGCCCACGCTAGCCCCGCGCAAGCACGAGACGCCGCGACCCGGACGAGGCGGCGGCGCAGGCCTGCCGAGCGCGGGCGGGCCGCCTCCTGAGCGCGGGGGCTTCGCGTTCAGGACCCCGGCGGACGCGGGGAGCCCGGGCGTGCTGCAGTTTGCTGCCCCTCTCCGCAGGGGCGCAGCGGCGCGCAGCCCGCGCCTCTCCCCACCTGCAGCCCCTCCTCCCGCCGCTGCCGGGCGGATAAAAGGCGCGTCCTTGCCCTTCCAGGGCCTCCTCAGGTCCTGCGGTCCCCGGCCCCCCGCCCCCCCCCCGCGCCTTGCCTCCCTATTCCCTCCTCCACCCTTTCCTCTTTTCCTCCCGCGCCTCCCCTCCCCCGGCTCTCCGGCCTCCCATTCATTCCGTCCGCTCCCTCCCCATTCCTCCTTCCCGCTCTGGCCCTCTCCCCTAGGTCCTCCCCGCGCGGACACCATTGCATTCTCGGGGTTCTTAGCACATTCATGGAAGTTTAGGGCCTGGATGGTGCCCCCAAGTCCGGCCTGAGAGCGCAGCCTGAGCTGCTGGCCGGGAAGAGGAAGATGTCTGTGCTCAAGCGGATGATGCGGGTCTCCAATCGCTCCCTCCTCGCCTTCATCTTCTTCTTCTCGCTCTCCTCGTCCTGCCTCTACTTCGTCTATGTGGCTCCGGGCATCGGTAAGCACCGAGACACACCCTCCCTGCCCACGGCCACACCGAAGGAAATGCAGGGTCTTCCTTAGGGGATTTGGAAGGTGCATAAACAGGGGCCCCGCAGAAAGCATTTTATTTAAAATGTTATTGCAGACGTGTCAGATAAACTGCTCGGGGCATGGCTTTGGTACGTGAGTTTCGTTTGTGCCGGTTTAAGTAACTTCAAAGACTGCATGAAAGGGACGTAGCAAAATTAGGTGTGGTGACCCCGGATGCCCTGGTCGCTTTCTTGAGTATTCATGACAGCTTTATTCATTTAATATCACGTCTTTAAGCCTAAACTCGATGCTTAGTCGTAGTTTTATTCAAACACCCTCAGATATAATAACTGGTTTAAAAATATGAAGGAGAAACCAACACCAGGGAATGTGACTGAGTTCAAGGATGTATGTATTCTTGCGTTCTAGGTCACTTTTTTAGAATGGGGTCAGTGAACATTTGTGCCACACTTCAGGAATTTTTAGGCGATGAGTTTTCTTGTGAAAACAATGCTCCATTCTTCAGTCTGCTTTTCAAGGATAGGTAGACTCTGCTACCTGTTAGGATGATTTCTGAGATAATATAATGGCTAAAATGACAGTCACACAGGATAGTTTGTAGTTTAACATTTTAACCTATTTATCATATTTTGGGCCAGATATACTTTTTAAATAATCTACTTGAATTGGCTTATTCAATATTCTAATTACTCAGTCCCCTGTGGTTGAAAAGGTGCCACTCTGGCATTCTAATGAATAAAAAATAAGAACTTCATATGGATATTAAAACACGTCACATCTCCAAAACTTTTTCTGAGTTTTTCCTGGTTATTATGTGTTTAATGTTAAATAATTATGGTATATGTTTAATGTTAACGTATTTAGTGTAAAGTGTAAGTTTAATGTTCCCTTAGTAATAGTGTGTATCTCCTGTTATTTCTTTTTAGACACTAGTAGTCTTTTGAGCCAACCATTTCTCCCTGGGTCAGCCAAAAATGTATGGCCTCTTATACAATGAAAACATGTGCAGAATTTTGAGATGGAATTAGTATCAGGGCATTGTCTTGTGTGATAATAGATTATTGTAATGAATTGCAGAGGAGAAGGAAGATGCAAACCTCATGGAGACTGTTGTATTTCCTAGAACAGAATTACTATGTGACTTTTTCTTGATTAAATTTTTGGATTCAAGTAAGAAGTATAAACTAAGATAATGATGCTTGAGAAGACATAAATTGTTGAAACCTTGATGTATTCCAAAATAGGAGTTTGACGTTAAAGTTCAAGCAAGTATGAATATTTTAAGATACTATTTTCCTTTAATGCAGATTTTTCTTTAGGCAAAATAAAAACCCATGGGAGCCTGTAGTAGAAATGACTGGTAGTTCAGTGGACTTGAGAGTAGTTAGCCAGATTATTTGGCTGGCTTTTCTTAAAGTCCTCTGCGATTTGGGCAGTCTTACAAATTAACTCTTCATTCTACAGCCGTTTTTACTTTGTCAGGTAGCTCTTTAAAGGTTGGAAATCTTTGGGTGACGTTAGTTAATCAGACATTCAACTTTGAAAGGTTTTGCAGAAAAAGGTTTTTTGCAGTTAGGTAACAATGTTTTTACCCTCTTGGTATTTTGGGTAACTTGTTGAAGTTGTGTTACTCAAAAAGTTAACCAAAGGAAATCAGAATTCTAACTGTTACTTGGTAGTCCTCCTTTTTTTTTCTTGGTGCATCAATATATTAACTGTAGATTCTTAAAATTCGGTTGATACGAAATACTAATACATTTTTCTCACTTATGTATAAGTTTAATGTTTGCCATAGAATAATCACTGATTTGTCATAAAAATTTGGCAATTTTCTTATGGCAATTAGGTTGACACGGTTTAAGCTACTGTTTTTGTGGGTCTTAAAACTTATAACTTAAAAAAAATGATTAAAGCCAGTAAGGAGAATGAAAACCAAAACTTATAAAGTGCTATCAGTTTGTTAAGCTGTATCTATTTCCCAAAGCCAATATTATTTAGCGGGAAAAAAAAATCTCCTTATTTCTCTTTTATTGGGAAGCAGTTTTCCAAAAATCACGTTTGCCTGAAAGCTCAAATTTTATCATTGGCAACAAATACTGTCAGTTTTTTTTTTTTTTTTTTGAAGTGCCTGGCTCACTTTGTTCATTTTTGGGAAAATGTAGGTCAAATACAGGAGTCTAAATAACCAAGTTTGTCAGTTCTTTAAAGTAAAAGTGATAGTTTATGAAAAATATGGCTAGTTCAGCTCATAATGCAAAATCAGTGCACAAGTTGATTTTTAGGATAGCCATAGTACATTGGTATGCTACAGAAATGCTTTATGTACACTTCCCTTTTCATTACAGATTTCTTCTTAATGAGATATACCCCAAACTAACTAAATTCTTATAACTAATTTACATTAGATGTACAGAGAAACTTCTTGAAAGAATTCACGTTTACATCTTGGGGCAAAACTTTCTTGTGACTAAAATATACGTGGTGTAAGAGAGCACTTTTTATTTATCCTAAATAAATGTTTCAAATGTCTTCTGTTAAAAAGTCCATATTATTCCTATCCACATCAACCTGTTGTGTAGACATTAATTTTGTTTTCCTACATTTTCTGTCCAGAGACCTATTTTTGTCATGCACCTTCCCCCAAGCAGTTCTTTTCTCACTTTTAGCCCCTCTTCCTTAGCCTTCTTCACCTGTGTTTCTCTCTCCCCCTCTCTCTTCCCTCTGAGCAGGTAATACCACACAGTTGTAAACAGCATAGTCTGTTTAGTTTTCAATGTTTTCTCATGTTCAGCAGTTTTTTGTCTACAATGAGCCCCATCAAACTCAGAGCTTATTTTAAGAATTATTTTAAGAGTAATTTGAAACATTTTCCTTGAAATTTCTAATTCATGTAGGAAACGCAGGGATAGTCTTTATATTAGGAGCTTTAATAACAAGGAAACTGGTCTGCAGACACCCACTCCCCCAGGAAGGCGGATTTTTCCCTAGCCTACCTGGTAGAGTCAGGAGCCATTAGTTGTTTCTCGTTCTCTTTCACCTTTGTGCATGATTGCAAAAAAATGAGTGCAGTTCCCCCGCCAAGGTCTAGACATGGCTGGATTGAGAGTGGAATTCCATTTAGTGTTTAGTTTCAGTGCTACTTCCAACACAATATAATTACATTTTCCTGCTAAGGCATCGTAGGAGAAGATGAACTTATGACTTATGAGTTCATTCAGCAAACACAAGTGGAGTATCACAGATAGGCTAGACATTGAAGATAGATGACTAAGACACAGTTACTTCCTTCATGCTGCAATGGGAGGAGCACCAGGAAAGAGCTATAGCCAGTCCTTGGAACGCCTGCGTTGTGGAGTGAGGGCTGGTTAAGGATTTCCAGAGGGAGCGGGCCATTGAGGATGAAGATTTATCTGGACTAAGCAATGGGACAGCATGACCAGCATGGTACTTAGAAAATAGGAGTATTTCCCTCTGGCTACCACTTAGGGTATGGGGTGGCAGATCAGCCAGGTTGAGAAAAAGTCTTGGGACTCCCCTGCCCAGCCTAGTGTTCTGGTGTTGAGGTCCCGAAAATTCCTGGCAGAAGCTGGTCTTAACTCACAAAGGTTTATCAAAGCTGTCTACGATTAAGAAAAAAGTTGATGTGCCTATGATCAACGGGTTAGTATTGTGGAGAAGATTGCACAACTCCATTGGGAGTGGGGTTTCACATCTATGTGACTCACCAGAGGTTTTGACCTTTCCTAGATGTGCTGACAGACCGTTTTATTCTTTGAGTAGATGTGGAATCTGGTTGGGGCACTTTGGTCTGGATTCCTATGGGCCCTTTAAGGAATTACCTGGCAAGTGCTTTGTTATTTGGGCCTCTAGGCGGTTTGTGCTCTGCTGGTACTGGTGTAGCTAATGGGTGGTCAGGGTGTGTGGGTATGTGTAAGGGTAGGTGTTAGGGGAGAGGGTGGCTTAGTTAGGTCCTTGCTGAGAGTTCCCTGACATTTTGCCTGGGTTTCTCTTGGCTAGCTCAGAAGGTGGCAAGTTGCCCTGCAGCTTTCTTATCATAGCCCTTCAGCCTCCTGGCCCTGGCTGGGTAAGCCTGGTTGTGTTCTTTTTGAGCTGTTACAGTTTGCTTTGTGTTTCAAAGGTCCTTTGGTTTTTTTCCTCACCAAGTTCTCTGACCTACATGGCTCCTTTCAGGGGTTCTTTTGATTTGGGTTTCTTTCCTCTGGGCCTTCTTTTGCTGGTCACTCATCCGATGCTCAAATTTTTGTCCTGGGAGTAGTAGGAAACATCAGAAGTTTTGAAAAGGGGAATGATGCAACACTTTGTTTTACAGCATTTCTTTTAACATGGAGCATGGTGATAGAGGGCAGAACCAGTGGCAAGGAGACCAGGTAGGAAGTTATTTCAGTAGCTCAGAAGATTAGAACCTGATTAAGGTCATAGTTGGATCTGGGCAGAGTTGAGCAGATCGGAGTAGTGACATTGAAGGAAAGGGAGAAGCTATAAGATGATGCTTGTATTCTAGCTTAGACAACCAGGTGGCTGGTCGTAGGGAATACAGAAAGGCATGTGTTTGGAGGGAACTATTTTGGTTTTAGAGAAATTGAGTTAGGATGCCTGTGGGATATCCAGGAAGAACTTGTCAGTAGGTAGGAAGATGGACATAAGGACTTGGAGCCCAGAAGAAATGTCTGACAGGAGAGAGATTTGGCTGTTTTCAGCAGGTAGGTGAATGGTCCTTACTTATTTCTCTCCCAACACACCTGAATGATAAAACTAACTCTGCAAGCAGAAGTGACTCACTGAGTCAGTTACTCTTAACGTGGGATGATAGGGGTTAAATCAAAGTATAGAGGAGCCCCAAGTATACTTTGAAAAGTTTCCCAGGAGACTCTGTTACCCTTTTCATTTCCCAGTCCCAAATAGGAAGTCATTATGGTTGACACCATGGGAATTTTGGGTGGCCAC